AGAGAAAATAAAGCCTCCTCATTAGACTGCTTGCTATTAAGCCTTGTCTATCTAACCAATCTTCCATATGGCCTTGAAAATCCTTTTCCAGAGTCCTTAATGATTCCCAATTACTCCTAAGAAAAAAAGACAAAACCCTCAACTTGGCATTTAAAGCCATCCAGTCTACATTGCTACCAATTCTGTATTATGCCTCTCCAATAATTCTCAGTTCCTTGAATATAATATAAACTCCTTGAGGACAGTAAATCTGCTAGTAAATATTCCACTATGGGCACCCAGGAAAAAAAAATACAGGATGCATTTTAAAGTTTAATGTGAATTGGTAACATTTTTTCCCATGACTTTCTCAAGTCTGGACAATAAAAAAGTAATAATAAATAAGGCCTACTTTGTAGCACTTAACTGATTTTCTGACATCAATTTTCACACAAAAAATTTAACAATTGGCTTTAGCAAAACCAGCTTCAGTTGGATCCAGTAATCCACTGACTAGGACTGTCTAATTTGTATTCCTATAACTAGTACAGTGCCTGGCTCATTTGGCACTAAATAAATGGTTATTCAATGACTGATCTATTGATTTCAGCTACACCGAATGACTCATCCTGAGCTCAGCATTTCATCTTCAGATTTTGTGGCTTTGACCAGGCTATTGCAGGAGTTTGGAACATAATTGCTCTTCAACTCCACGTAGCAGATCTTTTAATTTTCAACAAGGCTCAGCTCAAGTGCCATCTAAAGGACCCATTTTTAATGCACCCCCTCTGTCTTTCCTGCTACCACTTTCCTCAAAATGTGTGGTATGCATTTACCTGTATATATATCATATCCTCGAGTTGAATGTAATCCCCTTGAGGGTAGGCTCTTTTTAATTTTGGCTTTTTTTTCTTCCAGCACGTATCAGTGTCTCATACGGTGTAGGCACTTTGAAAGCTTTGTAAAGTTAATTAAACTGAATTTACTGTTTCTTTTTCTCAATTAGTGTTCTTAAAGCTCCATTAACAGATGTCTGTTTCAGTGTCCATTTGTTTTTAGCATCAACAATATTCTTAACAGCTTGTCTGTATATAGCTCTTTAAGGTTTATAAAAACACTTTCCTTTTGAGACCCCTGGGAATTAGGTTGAACAAACATTATGCTATGCACACAGTATAGCTGAGGAAAGAGCTCTGGCAGGTCAAGTCATTTGCCTAAGACCATACAGCTATTAAGGAACAGGACCAAGTTGACAGATTCACGCTCACGACCCTGCTACTAAAGTTTAACTTACTTCATTTCCTCTCTGGGCTGGTGTGCCCTTTCTTTGGCATTCTGGTGGGTTCCCTTGCTCTTGGGGGTTCATCACCTCGATGCCAGGCTCAGTGCCCTACAACACAGAATTCCTGAGCTCAAGACACACATAGAATTAAGTCACTCTAAGAGCAGGGATTGAAAGTGTGTGTCCCCAGAAACTTCTGATTATAAGCCTCATGCTTTCATCAGTACTCCATGCTGCCTCTAGAGTGAAAAATAGATAGACAGACAGATAGATACATAGATATATAGATAAATAGATAGATAGATAGATAGATGATAGATAGATAGATAGATAGATAGATAGATAGATAGATAGACAGATAGATGATAGACATGTAGATAGGTAGATCATCTGGTATACATGTATCTGTGTGTGTGTGTGTGTGTGGGTGTGTATACAGATATAGATATAGATATACACATACATACATGCATATACGTGCATGTGTGTATATTTATCTGACTACCTACCATCTATCATAGACAGACAGATAAATAAACAAGTCACCAGAAAGACAGATAGATAGATTTTTGTTGCTCTTCTTGTTGTTTTGCTTTGACCTCAATATGTGGAATACTTGATGTGAAGTCAGGCGACCTGTGATCTGCTTAGTTCCTGTGGTGCCCTGGGTAAGTCATTTTTCCTCCGTGGACCTCATTTTCCTCCTCTGTAAAACAAGGGGAGCTGAACTGGATGAACTCTGAGTTTTCCTTCAGATCCAAACCACGTGATCAGTCCTATGCTAGCCCTGAATCTTAGGATCTCAAAGGTTCATCCAAGTTCTAAATCCTTTGATTCAGCTGCATTTAGAGTAAATTGTCCACTAATCATCAGGATCATGGAGGGGAATAACTCTATAAAATTCGTCCCATTCTCTTATTATCTAGCTACCTCTGGAGAGGCTATACTCACAGACCTACAGAGGATGAGGATTGTGTTGGGTTATAGGCAGGGGTTGGCCATCCTGTTTTGGATGGAGGCAAATCATTCCATCCGTATAGAGATCAGTCAACTCAGCCTTGGAAAGGTAGTAGCAAGTTCCATTCCTCATGTCTATGGCAGCCTCAAAATAACAACATAGCATAGGTGAAACTCACAGTGTTTTCATACAAGGAAGGAGAGGGGATAATGTTTGCTTATACTATCTGAATGTTAAAAGAATCTTTGGAAACAGGAGGAAAAGAAATGTAAGAGATGAGGCTCGGGTTACGTAGTATGTGCCAAGGAAAAGAACACTAGATTTGGAGTTGGGGATCTAGGTATTGGCTCTGATAGTTGGGAACCATGTGACCTAGGACAAGTCCCCTCTCCAAGTCTCCTTTGCCTGGTCTGTATAATGTGGGATTTGAACTAGACACTTTTCTGGGTCCTGTCCAGCCTCAAACTTCAGATCCTAAATGTACTTGAGAAATAAAAAGTTTTCTAAGAAAATATTTGCTGTAAAGTCCTTTTATTCCTACCTTTACATGAAAAGTTGACATATCATATCCAAAACATATTTGTCTCATTGGATAAAACTGTCAGACTCTTAACTCTTAGTATTTGTGATGAAAAATATAAGATGCCATTTCCCATGTCATCTCCACTATTAACTTATCCCCAATACCTGATCATAAGGTATACACAGAAAGGCTATTGTACCTATTCCAATATAAGCTAGGCAGTGCAACGGGCAGAGTGCCAGGCCTGAAGTCAGGAAGACTTATTTTCTTGAGTTCAAAATCAGTCTGAGACACTCACTAGTTTGTGTGACCCTGGGGAAGTCACTTAACCCTGTTTGCCTTAATTCCTCACCTGCAAAATGAGCTGGAGAAGGAAATGCCAAGCCTCTCCAGTGCCTCTGCCAAGAAAACCCCAAACTGGGTTCAAAAAGTATCAGACATGACTGAAAATTGCTGAACAACAAAAACAGCCCTATCCCACCATTGCCTCATATTTCTACATATATGTGTGTGTATGTGTGTGTGTGTATATAATATGTGTGTTATGTATGTATATAATATGTGTGTATATATATATAATATGTGTGTGTATATGTATATATGTGTGTGTATATATATCTCTATATCTATCTATCTATATCTATCTATCTATCTATCTATCTATCTATACACTACGGTATAAGGTAGAATGTGAAAGCATTAGTGTTGCCACTTTAGAGATGGGAGGACTGAACCATTAATAGAAAAATGGAGTTGCTCAAACACACATAGTTACAAAGTATTGGAAATACTATTAAAACAGAGTTCTTCTAGTACCAAATCTAGTTCTAGTAACTCGACACTATACAAAGCACCAATAATCTCCAGGAGATTATAAGAGTTAATGTAATTACTAAATAATGACCTTAATAAATAAGCAATCAGTGATTCATCTAACCATCAGGTACTAAAAAAAAGAATACCCAATTTCAGACATTTTTCCTCATCCCTTAAGAGAATGGTTTGATTTCAGACTGTTTTCCTCATATCTTATGGCACAGAAAATCTTTAATAGTTTTCTATACTTTCCCCACAAACATATAAATAAAGACAACTTGATAGAGTAGATGTAATGTTGGACTTGGAATTAGGATGGCCTGGATTCAAATCCTAGTCTAATGACTGCTAGCTTTACAAAATTTGACAAATTATTTAACATCTCTAAATATTGCACAATTTTCAAAAACTTGAAATTCTAGACCATTTAAGATCCTCATCATTAAAGGGGATTTGCAGACTTCAAAAATTGGTCATAGATTCCTAGAATTAGATTTCAAAAGGACCTTACTTGGAGGCCATCAATATCAACTTCGTCATTTTAGAGTTTGGAAAACTAAGAATGAAAGAAGACAAATACTTAGGGTCACCCAGCTAGTATATATCTGAGGCATGATTTAAATTCAAGTCTTCCTGACTCCAAGAACAATACTCTATCCACTGTTGCATGTAGTTGCCTCCTGGTTCTTGACCTACTGGCATAGGAAAAATGAAGGTGACAAAACCAATGATGTCTAGTTACTTCAATCAATCCTCAAATATATCTGTGATCCCATCAATTTGGATGGCCCTTCCAATAACGGATATTGTAATCCATTTCTGCCTGGCCATTCCATGTAAACCTCGTATTACCCCATAATCCTGTCTATTTAAGGTCCACCAAAGTACATGGAGGCCTTCCTTGCTTTTTTCTAACATTGTGAAGATACCAATGGAACACTTGGACTATTTACCTGAAATGCCTCATTTTTATCATGTGACTATTATTTCTAATATTTGACTTCCCATACATATGATCATCAAAACCTAATATCATGACTCTTAGAATCAGAAAAAAAAAAGTATTATTTTAAATAAGACATAACACTTTTGTGATACCTTATCACGTGTAAAGTTTTTCAAAATCTAAATAAATAGAACTTCATATTTTGCTGAAGTAAAAATTCTATTTTACCTTTGTTCTGTAGTAAGGAAACTGCAAATATTTGAATATTTGCTCTGAGCTGGATTTTGACCAGACTCTCATCATTATCAAGAAACCACGCGCATCTTCTGCTATTGTTACAAGATTCTTTTAATTAAGGCTATGGAATGGCATAGAGCCACTAACCTTTTAAGTGAACTACAAAATTAGCATTATTCATTTCTGTGTTGTGGCCTAGTTTTTATTTAATAACATGAATTCTGGCTAACTCTAAAGGTCAGACTAAAAACAGACTTACCATCCTCATGCTGCGCAGAGCCAAATGAGAAAAGGGTGCCAAGAATAATCCCTAAAGGTAGCCATTTCCAGAGAGAAAACTGCTGTAACATCTTCTGTCAGATTTCACTCAAAACAGACCTGAAATAAAAAAGAGAGAGGGGGAAAGGTTTGACGTGTTCATTAATCAGTTTCAGGTAAATAGAAGTCACTGCCTAGACATTCCAAATGGCGTCACCATTAATTATGTGCGCCACTTGATCCATTATAGTAAAAAAAAATTCATATGCTCGCTTAATGTCCTGGAATCCTTGATCAGCTAGAATTTGCCAACAGCCATCCTTTCAGGGAACACTTCCTATCTGTTATCCAATTTTCAATCTGGTCCGCTAGTAGGACAAAAACCTGTTACTTTCCTAAGATATTAAACTTTTACTTTGAGTTTAACCCCAGTAAATGAACAAATCAGCCACATGATCAACGAGAATTTATTTCCTAATATATACCAGGCACTACTCTAGGCACTGGGGTTACAAGGACTGAAAGAATATCTCATAAAAAGAAACATTCTATTGTCAGAGACAAAATGTGTATGTAAATATTGATATAAAATATAGGCAGAATTATAATGGACAGACTGGCCAATGAGGGTCCAAACCTTAGGGAATTCTCAGGTTTTCCCTTCTTGGTGCATTATAAAGGACATACATCTGGATTTAATAAGGCTATTTCTGGTCATGAGTGACTGAGGTTCTATTAGTGTGTAATCATGAAAAATCTTCTATTAGGATAAGGAGCTGGGATGATTGATGGCTTCTGAGTTTCTGAACCAGAACTGAGTAGCATACAAAGGAGTGATCTGACTTTCTTTTGGCCTTCTATTTTTTTTTTCTGTTAGTGAGTAAAACTGTATTGTGGTAACCTGTTATGTGTAAGGGAAAGATAACTGTCTTGTCTCCTACTGGATTGCCATGTGTCCGTAAGCACATGTCACTTCTATTTGTTTGGTGCTTATTTTCTCCCAATCTTAGGCAAAAGACTATTTAGAGGATCCAGGTGACTGGGAGATCCATGAGAGTAATCAGAAACCTGGCCAGTAACTGGAGACCATAGCAGAGTCTATTTTTAGTGATGGCGGCTGGTAATAGAAGGAGTGTGTATAGCTAGAGATTGTGGTACAGCCTTGGAGTTGAAATGCAATAAAACATTTCTGGGTGTGTATGTAGCTAGGTGGCATTATGGATAGAGTGCTGGGACTAGAATAAGGAAGACCTGAGATAAAATCCCACTTTAGAAACTTACTAGTTGTATGACCCTGGGCAAGTCACTTAACCTTGTTGGCTTCAATTTCCTCATCTATAAAATGAGCCAGAAAAGGAAATGGCAAACCACTTCATTTGCCCTCCCCTCCAAAAAAAAAAAACAAAAATACCTCAAATGGAGTGATGAAGTGTCAGGCACAATTGAAAAACAAAAAATTATCTGTCTTATCTTTGAAACTCCTACCATATCATCCACCTTGCCCTGGTGCCAAAAAAAAAAAATCATCTTCTGGAAATCACTGAAGTCCCTCCACAACCATTTCACCTTACCAGAATCATTTCATATCACTTCCTTGCATGTCCTTTACATACCAGCCTATACTGACCACTTTGTTCTCTGTTCCTTTCCATAACCTGTGTTTTCCTCTTTCTGAACCTTTTCTCACTGCTCATACTCTTCCCCATATGTATAACACTCTTGTTCCACCTCTTATACTGCTGAACTCTTGCTCATGTGAAAAATCTAAAATGAAGCCATAGCTGCTTTAGGAATCCTGCCCTGATCCTCACTCCTACCCTGGCTTTTCATATAGCCATTTGGTGTTGTTTTTGTTGTTGTGATTTTAATTCTCTATTGCATTTACTGTGTAAGATTGCAATAGCTTTTTAATTGGAATACTTAATATGAATTTTCTCTCCAATCCATATTCCACTTAGTTACCAGATTAATATTCCTAACACAAAGACCTGGCCATATCATTCCCTACTCAAAAATCTCTAACAGCTCCCTGATGCCTCTAGTATAAAATGAAAAATCTCAGACTAGCATTTAAAATACTTCACAATATGGCTTTGAACTCACTTCCAATCTTCTTTCATATTAATGACCATGCAAGCACTCTCTATTTTAGTAAAGCCATCCTGCTGATTGTTCCTCATGGGTAAAATTCTGTGTCACCCCAACACGCTTTTGCCCAGGCTGGCCTCTACTTCCAGAATAGATTCCCTCTTCATCTTTGCCTTGCAGAATCCGGTGCTTCTTCCTAAGAACAACACTCCTGAGGCCTTTACTCCTTTGATTCCCTGAGCTGCTAATCCTTCCTCCAGCAAATTCTTGCAAATGTATTTGTGTATATTGGTATTTGTGTACTTGTCAATTTTTGCCTCCAAAGTGGAATGTAAGATTCTTAAGGTCAGGGCCAGGTATGGTTTGATCTCTCTATCCAAAGATTGTAGCAGAATGCTTTGCATGTAGTATAGACTCAATAAATGTTTGTTCGCAATATAATCTCCATGACAGTAGGGACTGTTTCATTTCTGTCTTTGGCCTGAACAGAGTGGATACTTGAAAAGGAGTGCTGGCATGTATTTAATAGAAGCACAGTAAGCAGAGTGGTAGTTCTGGGGTCAGGGAGACTCCCCTTCCTGGATGTAAGTCTGGCCTCAAACACTTAATACTTGTGGGACTTTGGGCAAGTCACTTCACTCTGCCTCAGTTTTCTCATCTGTAAAATGAGCTGGAGAAGGAAATAGCCAACTGCTCCAGTATCTTTACCAAGAAAACCCCAAATGGGCTCACAAAGATGGAGACATGACTAAAACAACTGAATAACAAAAATGAAAGCAGTAACAAATTGTCTATTATGCTGGGCTTATTCCCCTTCTACATAGTAAACTTCAAGACAATCTATGTATTATCTAAGCTTTTTCCATCATTGGTTTGCATAGAACATGGACACAGGAACTGTTTCATAAATGTTGTTATTATGACATTAACCCACAATCAAGATGTGACTGACCCTCTTCGAGGCATTAATTGAAATGCATAAATAGCCATCAAGTCACATGCAAAGTATTACAAGCCAGGGACAAAGCTCTGTCAATATCGCCTCAAGATCTGGCAAGGCTCCCCAGGGTCACCTTGAATAATGCTTCTAAGCAAGAGAATGGAGGGTGATTTCATGAGGCTAGAGAAATGCCACTTGATAAAGCACTGGAAGAAAAGTGGCTTCCGAGACAAGGCATATCTTTTCCCACAAGACTATCCCCAAACTCCCCAACAGGATCAAAAACGCTTTGGGCAGGAAATTGCTACTTCTGCAAACTCAATAAAGGGTTTAAAACTTCTTTGATTTTGAGTATAAATCCAAAGGCTAGGGAAAAAAAAACACATTGAGATGTGTCTGCCTTTTTTATGTTTATCCCTATCTGGTTTCATCGCAACAGCAGTAAGGTTGAGTCCCTGGCAAACTTAGGGGAGAAGAGAGTCGATCTTTATGTTTTACTCTATTTCCAGCACCAGCTTTAGACCTCTTTCTGCAAGGACCCTATTATTCTCAATGTATCAGAACTTGGAAGCCCATGCCTTCCATGATAGGAAACCACATATCAATATTTGTGGCAGCCCTGAAGCTGGAATCTGTCTTGTGTAGTAGGGATTGGCTTCTGGCAATTTTCCCATCTATAGTCTACAATACTTCTGATATCTAAAAAAACCTGGATAGAGTAGCAGAATGAAAACCTGTAACGTCCTCCCTTATCTGAGAAATACAGGCTATCCACTGTGGAGGATATGGGTCACTTTTTGACAAAGTGACATCTACTTTTTTGTGTGTGTGCATACATACACACACACACACACACACATATATATATACACAAACACATATATACATATATATGTATACATACATACATATCTGTATACATGTGCATGTATATATATACACACACATATATACATACATATATATATATATATATATATATACACACACATATATACATATATGCACACACACACACATACATAGTATAGCTTGGCCATCACCTGAGTTCACTGATCCAAATATGAATTTCTCTATTTTTCAGAATTCCCTTTAATAAACTTAACTCAGTAAAAGAAATATCAACAGTACTCTCATTACATACATGTAGCTATCTCCCAAAAATAATGACATAGATTGATAAAAATTATTTCTTTGACAAATAGACTTCGGGTAGGAAGGTGCAAATATCTCACTTATTAGTTCTGATCCATTTCCAGAATCAGAAAATTATAAGAGATGTCAATTGCCAGAGATTCCAATGTAAGCCTGATTGGTAAGACCTTTTACAATATCCTTAAAAAGTGAATATCAAGTCTCTGACTGATCAGAGAGGAGGATCCCACTTTCTCCTGAGGCAGCCCATTCTGCTTGGGAACAACTGTCATCGGAAGGATTCTCTACCCTCCCCCCCCGCCCTTTACACAAATGTTCATATACACATCCTCTTTCTAATTTTCCTGCTTTATAAGATCATGGGATTATTGATCTAGCACAAGAATGTAGATAAAGACAGCTACAAATGACCATCTAGTCATAGAATCATAGAATTTAAGATTTGGAAGAAACCTCAGTGTCCCCCTATCTTAACCTGTGTGTAAAAGAAATCCAGACTGTGACATGCCAGACAAACAGCCATTTGTCCAACCTAATCTTTTTTTCTCTTTCCAGAGGAAGAAACTGGGCCCCACAGAGGCTTAGTGACTTTTCCAGGGTCACAAGGTTAGTAAATATCAGAGGCAGAATGTGAACTCAGGTTTTCTGACTCCAGAATTATAATAGTAACAATAATTGTTATTGTTATTATTATCACTATTTTTCCCTCTGGGTCCATCCAGAATAAATCTTTTCCCTTTTCTATTTACCAACTCTTCAAATAACTTGTGGATGGTTATCATGTCCTCTTTAGGTATTTTCTTCTGCAGGCTAAATATCTTAATTTTTTAATCTGATTTTCATTGTAAAGCAACATAAGACACCACAACATCATCGTTGTCATTCTATGGATGCTTTCTAGCTTTATGGTTTCCTTACTCAAAATCTGTCTTGCTGA